TGAACTCGGATGCCTAAACTATTTTTCAGTACGTGATATATGTACTTTTTATAATACTATCATTCTATTATATCGATAAATTATTTCAAATTGGTTAAAGTTGGTATTTGTGTGTCGTTATAATTATTGTGTTTCAATTCTTCCCAAATATTTATTTTTATTAGTTTTAGAGATTAACTTTCTTAGTAGATTATGGTGTATCTGTGGGCTATGCTCCCATCACATCCCATCACAAGGTAATATTCCAACCAATCCGGTTTCATCACACATAACTATCCCAGAATTCCTAGAAATAGGTCCAAAACCAATCGCAGAAAAGGTATATGTCACGTTAGATCCTATTTTGCAGATGCGCCATATAACATTTTGTATAATTATGTCTCTTCTATGTCTTGTCGTTATATCATATCGTCAACGACCTTTCAATTAAAATTTACACAACACAACCACAGACAACGCATTATATAATGTTTTGCCAATACAATGATATCTTCTTCTTCTACAATTTTACTTTAGTGTACAGTGTTCTGTCACTCTCTATATTCGATATATGTTCACCTCTGTTGCTCAAATCGAGGTCAGCGTAGGTCAAGCCTTCAACATCGCTGTGTGTAGAGTCGTTGCTTGTAGTGTTAACATAAGTGTTCACATATGTAACTGGGTTGTTGTCTGCTTGTTTGATATTTAACAAAGTTTGATATGTATGTTCTATTCTATCTGCAGGGATAGTCAAAGATTCGTACGAATGAGAATTATCAGTATCTTCAGTAGCGTATTCTCTGTTCAACTCGTCTGTCACATCAGGACTGTACATTTGAAGTTCTCCGTTATCGCTTTCTATATGTTGTTGTGATACTTGGGGAGTTTGATGTTTTCGAGATTTCAGAACACATCTGACCACCAATATTACCAGTAGTATCAGTAATATTGCTCCAATAGCACCGCCAATCGAAAAACCTGTTGTTGCAATGTCATTGCCAGTAATAGCTTTTGACGTGGCAAGTTGTGTATCATTGTTAGAAGCTGAAGTTGGAAAAAGAATGTCCGTGGGGATTTTGTCAACAGCTTGAGTAGTGTTCGTAGTAAATGATACATATAAATTAGCAGTGTCAGTGCCGATACCATAGGAATTTTGTACCTCACATGTTATTGTATGGTTTCCATTATCATGGATACCTATGCTATTAACTAGAACAGTTCGATCATCAATAAATACAAACCTCCCTCCTGACTCAACAATTACGTCATCATATTTCCACGAGAATTGCGTGGGTTCAACAAAAACATAACACGTAAATGATGCGCTCTTCTGAGAAGTAATTGTGATGAATTGAGGTAGTACAACTACATCAGGTTTCGATTGAATCACAAATGGGCCTACTTGGCATGTATTGCTGGATGCCCATCTTATGTTGCTTGCTTTACAGTAATATGGCACACCGTTATCAGCGTTTACTGCCGTCCACGTATACGTTGTTTTCAGCATTCCATCAAATATGTATGACTCTGAAGGTATGAGTGGAGTGTCGATTATGCCATCTCTAAACCACGTGTGTACGACTTGGGGTGACCCTGTGGATGTACTAGTACACGTGAACGTTACATTATCGCCTTCTGATACCTCTACACCAGACTCGATATTAGTTTGACAACTCGGTGTATGTGTTTGTGGTTCAACGTATATATAGAGATAAGCCGTGTCAGACTCCATGACAACGTTGTTATTGTGAGTAACAATACATTGGTATTTCGCACTGTCGAATACAGCCGTAGACTCAGAGATGCCTATTATTTGCAATGTAAACTGTGTATCAATATTGTGGAGTAACGCGTAACGCGGTATATAAGTGTAATAAGTAGTGCCACCATGCTGAGGATCATGCGTAATTATCATCATTCCGTTCTTTTTCCATGACACTTTATGGCCTACCTGTAAATTACTGACATAACAATGCATCAACTGTACAACTACTTCATTGTTACCTTCGGTGAGATTCACGTAAGTGTTCTGGGGCTGTGTCGTAAATGTAGGTATTGTATCACCAGGAACGACGATAACTCCTACACAGACCACTGCGATTATAACTCTCACAGTGAACATAATTGTTGAACGACATCGCTGTCACGGAATTCGAGACTGACGAATTTACTTCCTTGATCCGGGAACTTTCTGACCGCTGCATGTCGACATGGAATTGTTATTTAAATGAATAACTATTGTATTCTATTGTATAACACAATATTGTGTCTCAAACATTGAGGTATGCACTGTTTTAATGTTTGACATAGTATTTCTCAAATTTATGGCTTGTCAATTTTCTCAAGAGATCTATTATTTGAGAGATCTATTAAAATGATAGAGATCAAAGCTTCGCATCATTTTTTAGATGCTCTCTGGAACATTACTCGGACCATTAGTGTTACGTGCATCGGTAAAGCGAAGATTGCACAGCGACAATCACTTCATTAAACAATAATACGCGATAACAATTCATTATTCATTGAACAATTCGGTAGCTTTTTAAGCAACTAAATCTGATAAACAAATGTTGAACTAATTTAGCTCCAAAATATCCTCAAACTGGTATGTATTCGCTTACATGTTACATAGTGGAGAGTGTTGTGCGTGATTGTTCTTGAGTAGATTCACCTCTTTTATATTCCATTTAGGGTACTCTTAAAATTATCAAACCGATGGACCATTAATCATGGCGATATTACTGCTGTTGAACGCCAAATCACGCGAGACGTGTATATCATATCATCAGAGCATATTTCATTAAACACAACCCAAATATCAAAATAATATTAACTAATATTAATCTATGTTTTGGTCACCCAAGCTGACTATTAATACTTATGGGTTTCATATGGTACCGTGGCTAAAATATGCCCTATTGGTGCCTCTGACTGGAGTTAGCCAATCGCCTGACCTGATGAAAACTGATATGCTTGGGTAGTTGTGTGTTTACCATATGCCTAATCATCGTCAGGGATGCGGTTGTATGATGTTTCCCCGCCATCACAGATAAACATATGCTTAGTGTCAAGTGTAATGACACGAGTTCTATTTAATAGATGCAAAGAACTTTGGCAAGATAAAACGGGAATTCCTCCCAGGGTTCACTACCCACAATATGTCATAGTGAATGCATAATAACGGGAGTTAATTGCATCAATTCCCACATTTTGGTCTTCGCCAAAAATTTAGTTTGATCTTCAAGGAAACTTTGCTTCTGATCAAGGCCAATACGAGCAGAAAAGCATCAAAAGTTCCAGCATTGCTGATTTTAGAGACTATCTGTATCTGTCCCAGTGCAAGCTTGGACTACCAGGCCGTGCTAGCCCAGTATCTTCAAAATAAATTATCAACAAAATCTGCTACTTGGGCGCACAGTGGGTTTCCGTAGATCCATCTTCTTTGACTGCATCAATCACAGAACACTAGAATCACTACACCTAACAAAGACAGAAGTGGAAACCACATGACTGCATTGTTGTTCACCCCTTCCAAGGTGACAAGCTCCTAGCTCTATTCCGTTTTTCTTGCACCAGAGCAACATCTTCTGTAGATTTCGTCCTACCTTGTTTTGCGATGTTGGGGTCACCCAAGAATTATATATCCCTAATATCGAAGCAATTGAGTTGGTAATTCTTGATGAAAAATGACATAAATATCACACATGGTACCTACATACAAAGTATCAGAGCAATTGTACTGGTAGTTTTCAGAAAGTAGTTGATAATAACGTTTTTACTAAAAATTACAAAAATATTCGCTAAAAATGGAGAATTCAAGATATCGTCACGAAATGGACAAATCTAACACAGGGCCGCCCAAGGTAACTATATACCAAGTATGAAGGCAATTGAGTTGGTAGTATTCAAGAAGTATAAAATAGAACCGTTGACAGGCAACTGATGGATGATGACAGATAATCACTTGCATAAACAGCTCCACTCTTTCATCTTTGATCACAACAGAACTAAAATCTGAGCATTGGCCCAGAGCATATATGCACCAAGTTTCATCAAAAACCGATGTATGGTTCTTGAGATATCAGTGGAACAGACAGACAGACACACATACATACACACACACACACATACAGACACACTAACTGCAAAGACTCCAATTGTGTGCTTCACACACACACCCACACACAGTCAAAAAATTCAGACAACATATGCATATCCTTTTCTATTCATAAAATGAGTTACACACCTGACCTACGTGTTTAGTTTATAAAACTCAAAATTTTATTTTATACTTACTGTATTTCTCGTGTGTGTCAAAAAGGCTGTGTAGACCCAGACAAGAACTGATCACTTGTAACCATTGGCAGGAAATGACTCCCTGATTACGATAAATGAATATTGATCGTACTGATCAATTTGGTTGCGAAACCACTAATGTTTTATACTACATTTGTGTACCAGGTACCTCCACACCAGATGGATAACCCAATGACACACTTGTTCAATCATGTAAACTGTGTGACAATAGATTTCGTTGAAAGATTTCAACACTGCAATCACAAAGTAATGAAAAAAGAAATTATCTATGGAAACCTAATTGTTTCTCGGGCTGGCAGCTAGGGAGATGAGGTTGAAAAGACAGATCTTTTTGGTCTTGTATGCTGTTCATTTCTACAGTGCATATGAAATATTAAGGCATCCTTGTGGCAATGAGTAATGGGTGAGAATGTTTACGAGATGTGGCTCTGTGAAACTTCATTTAATTAAGATGACCGCCAGACAAAAATGTATGTGTATTTGCCCAATATAATATCCGATGCATGAGCTTTAAACTTAATCGGTCTAAGCATGCAAGATATTGGTGGATGTGAACAGACAAATGAAGATCAATCTGCAAGTCCCTGTTTTGGGACTGCATTTGAATGGGCACTAACAACTGTATTGTTTCAATTCCCATTTAACAAAATGTGAAACACATACATACGACTTTCACACATTTCAATAAACATTAGAAGATATCCTTTTTTTGTTGTTTATTTCACACAATTTGATGTACTCATAGCGGCAATAGTTAAGGGTATGCAACACGTGAAATAAACACTCGGTTCCAGTGATACATTTTATTGACTCCTTTGAGACCAAGTCCAAGTATAACTGGTTCTCAGAAAATCTTTCGAGGCAAAAAAATAAAGATTACAACTCAACTGCAGTGATAAAAGATGCACATTGAAACACCTTTACAGCCAGTGTTAGAATTATGTTTAGTGTCTCAGGGACAGAAATGTAAATGGTTTAATAACACATCTTATTCCGTTGCATGCCCTTAACTTATCAACCCTTAAGTGTGATACATAATTACAGTATTAATAGATTCATAACAATTATCGAATACATACATAATTACTGAAGGAAGAAAAGTTACCATTATGTATATTAACATAGTAGAGAGCCCAATAAAAAAAAACTGCTTTCATGTCATGTGACTGTAAGTAGCCAATCAGATGCTATATTACAATTTGATAATCTGATTACCAGTCACACAGATCAAGCATTAACCTATGATGCATGCTTACCCACATGCATGTATAACTGGACATAACAGACAAAGTTTAATACCAGAACATTACCACTGCAAAGAGCAAGGGGGAAAAAATAAGTTGTAAGCAAAAGTGCATTTCATTTTATTTTGTGTCCCATTCTCTTTTAGAAAGGAAAAACTATGTAACCAGTTGGTCATCAACGAGTTTTAAAAATCTTGAACATAAAATTGACACAATGTATTGGGTTCATGTATAAACTGGAAATGTTCTCTTTTTTAAAAAAGTTTTATCCCACCCAAAGTTCTAACCATTTTTCAGTTGAGGTGAAGCATATATACAATGCAGATTTTCAAGTTCACCAGGTGTTAATATGCAAATGTTCACCTGGAATATCCATCCAATAAGGGACTTGTTTGATCGGGAAGCAAACACTTACCACCACATATATTGTCATAGAATGAGAACTAAATGAATTTACAGCATAGGAGATATATAATACATAGCTAAGAGGTACCAGCATTGGCCCCAGACGAGAAGAATTCTTTCACACTAGCTGCCACTGACATATCTTACACTCTGTTACCAATGCATTCTGATTTACAAGCAAGATGAATGCATCTAATGTTAACACTATAACAACCATAATCTCAAATGCTGCTTATAAAGTATGGGGTAAAAATTGTGTGTGCTTCCAAGGTGTTAACCAAACATGAAAAGAACATAATATTACCAGGAGACAAGATTCCTTACTGATACCATTTGAAGACAGATCATGAATTAGAGAGAGACGGACTCGGAAATAATTCAAGTAGAACAATAGAAGAAATATGGGTTTCCGCTTGTTATTCAATATGTATATGGAGGCCTCTCAACATTGCAAAAAAATAATGTGTCATGCAACCTCCGTAGTGTACACACAAACACACACACACACTTGTAAACAAGGATTATATGCTTACATACAGCAAAACTGCATTGTTTAATTGTACATTTCAAGTCACGCTAAATCACACTTTTGAAAGACCCATAGGTATCCGGATGGAATCTTGCAAATTATAAATAAACATATTCTTTTATTAAAATAAAGGCAGTGATCGTCTTGCAGAATGTATTTGAATTCGGTGTAAACAAACATTGTATTTAGAAGTGATGTATATGTGGGTCCCACATCAAAGACAAGTTGTCATGACGATCACTGCCCTTTTAACTTCAGACAGCTATTTTCCACATGGTCTATTTTTGCATTTGTTATTTTTATTGTTTGGTAATGCTGAATGTAGTTATTGTGAACAGATAGTATTATTAATTATGCACAAGAGACCACATGTACTTTGTTTCCGATTATTTGTTCACTACAATGAGGAACATTTCTAAAAACATAATAATTTAGTTATGGTCACAAAACATTACCAGATTACCATTGCTGAGCCAATATTTGTCATTCTTATTTTTAAATCAGTTTCAAACCTTGGTGGTTTGATAAAAATTTGAGTTGTACTATAATAAACATCTTCAATGAAGAGATATTTTAAACCTTTGTTTAAACAGATTCTTTAAAGTGAGTTACTGTCTGGGAGCAAAAAAATAACGATCAACCTTGTCAAACGGGGATGGAAAAAATGCAACTGCTAAAATAAGCTGGCATAAAACTATGCTATACTAATTGACTAGTTTGCATATAGACTATAAAGTCTTCAGCTACCTGATAACACTTGTTGGAAGGAAAAGGAACTATTTCTCTAATCACATAATATTCACATATAAATTGTACCATCACTCAATACACATTATTGTTTAAAACTTTGTTTCTTTCTGAAAATCAGAAAAAAACACGACCGAAATATCAATCAAAATATTCACTGTAAATTCAGCCTGAGACATGGATCCCCTGGTTCCCTAAACATTTTCATAAAATATTTGATAATAATCTGGTCCAGCCAATAACAGATAGTCTATAAGGAGGTACTAGATATACGCCCATAAACCTAGGGTGTCTTCTACTGATTATTTGCATTACATGCAGCTAACAGCTCGGCATAAGGTCCACCAGGATTGGCTACAGACTGGAAAATGGAAATAAAAGCTCTTTTACCAGCTTCCTCGACGAGCTGTGAAGATAAAATACTCATCATGAATTTCAGCATTTTTTTATACTACAAGTTATTAATAACAAGTCATTTCTTTGTTTGTTTGTTCAAGAGTGAACATAACAGAAACGTGTTAGCATTTTGAATCAGAACTTGAAAACAAGTGCATGATAAAATTTGTGACATGATGTACAGTGTAGTTGCAAAATTTGATTGCAACCAATCAAGTTAAGTCTGAGACATGGCTCTAGAACAGCACTTACTAATACAAAATTCCTGTCAATCAGCCATTGAGAATCAGAACTAAAAAACAATAAGGTTTCATCATGTTGAATGTAAGCACCAAATTTGAACAATAGGTGTCCTTGTATAATTACACATCAAGGAAATAATTTGCCCAATGGTTACACAGAAAGATTGATAATATTCACTACTTACTTGGTGTCTGTAAAAGTCCAAGGCTGCAACACAGAAGTTCCTCTTATCAATGGTTTCAAGTTTACCCATTCTACCAATCACATGGGGTAGTCTGATTGTCGCAATCAAGGAAAAGCATTTTATAAATTTGTTTTTGTTTTTTTATGTGTGGTAAAGGAACTTGACTCATGAGTCACAAGAGAGAGTACAAACTTCAAAATAATTAATTGAGTAAAAACCTGCCTCATCTTTGGAACGCATTATGTAGAATTAAGGTAGAAGCCTACTCATAAATTAAAAAACCTAGAATTTATTCATTTTGCAATGAATTGTACTCCAAGGCAATATAAGGATATTGACCTAAAAAAAGTTGGGGGTCACCAGCCTTTTTTTCAAGAAATTGATGGTTGTATTTTAGTGGAAAGTCGCCATTTTGACACTATTATAACACTTTTACCACAGGTTCCTATGCCAGAGATATTATGCAATATCTCAAAATCTAGCCTGGTGACATAGGCTGAAAAAATTATATATTGATAATGGAGTACTTTTTGTTGTTCTGAATTATTTAAAGAATCTGGGTTTTAAAAAGTGTCAAAAAATGCAATTCTTTTTTAACATTGTGTTCTATGGAATTGTTCTAAAAATAGCAATTTTCAAGAAATATTAGGACACGTTTCTCAAAAAGCATAACTAACACACAAAATAATGCTATTTCATTGTACCATGGGACATTAGCTTCATTATTGTACATAATAAACTAATGAACATTGTCATGCGATTTATGACGAATTTTGTCAAAAATTATGACTAGGCTTCTACCTTAACACTAATTGATGCATGACATATGAATTGTTTATAGTAACATTATAAGTACCCGGTACACTATGGATGGATACCATATTAGCTCTAAAGTATACAGTGTATATAGACTAACAATTGCATTTGTTTCATACTGGATTATTAAAAAATGATTTAATTTGCATATAGATACCTTTGTAATGTACACAAGCGCATATGCTACAAATACAGCATATGTTATATCTATTGAAGTTACATAAAAACTGTGTTGAAAGAGTTATAAGTATGAATAAGATGTAAACGCAAACATGTTAAGCTAAAAAATCAGATCAGAATCATAAAATTGGGCCGACAAATTTTCTTTTATCCCTGTAAATGCAAATTACTGAACCTAGTGATGGTTGTTACTATGGCATAAAGGATACAATGCACAAATCCACATATTGGTTGATGAACTGATGAAGAAACATGTCAGACTCCATATTGCCATGGAAACTGGTGTGCGCTGGGTAAAATTAGACAGCGATAACATGACCCAATCTCTAACCAGGACTGTTTGACCTTGTTGATGAAGTTTACTGAACACCTGTAATGAGATGAATGGATTAAAATAATTTCTAATCAGTAATCAAAAGTCATTATCCATTCCGCCCATATCTACCAAATTAGAGTAGCATCAATATTCAATCAACACAAGAAAAGTGTGACATAGCCCCTGTTGGATGTTCAGCACATAAAGAACCATACAACCTTTAATTATTGGTAGCATATGGTGCTACACACATAAGTATATGACATCTGAACAGATTAAGACACTATATCTGTGATTATATTTTCATCACAAGGAATTTGACGCGATACATAGTTTTGAAGACTAAGTGAACAGATACATAATTTTGCAAGGTTCCTGACCCATAGAATAGCAAGCACATGAGAAATCTCTATGTATGAAACGAGTACCTCATAATACTAATACTATTGCTATAAAGTGCTTTGAGCAAAACTAGGAAAATTTGTCTTTCAGTTAACAGTAGTTAATCTAACAGGTCAGCAGTCAAATACACTATGAGTCTTACTTTGAACACAACTCTTGCCATAAGTTGTGGGTGCGGCTGTTGACTAGACAGGAATTCACCGATGACTTTATTCATGATATCCTGAGGTGGAAAAAAGTCAATCAAGAAAGTTGGTAATATCCTGGCTATCACTCTGGCTTCAGATGGAAATCCTTTACGAATTCTACAAAACAAAACAAAGTGGTGTGTAAGATTATGTTTAGTGAAATCAAACAATGGTGTTCTCATGACTAAGTTCAGAATAGACTTTTGGCAGAAGAGTTGCAAATAGCCAACATTACTATCAGTATTATGAGGTTTGCCGGAAGGCAGTTATACAATAATATTGACCGATGCATAGTGGTGATGCAATACAATAATATGTCTATCTGGACAACCTAAAGGAGGGCTGTATTTGAATCATCAGTAAAAAAGTTCCATATGTGATTGGATATGATGACATCCTAAAATTTCTAAAACTCAATCACAACCAAATCTGTGGTAATATCTGCAAACCTCTGACCTCTGATATCTTGTGAATACCGTAATAATTGTTGGTATAAACACATGCAACTTCAAACTCACAAGGCTCCAATACATCCAATAATACAACTGATGAAGATCTAATGAATATCATAGCGAAGTGAACCTCATTGTACCCTCCCCTAAAAACCCACAATTCCAGTTACCTATCAAATAATACAGTGACCCTTTCCATGGCGATCAGTAACCTCTCAGGGTCATGTGATGCTGCATCCAAATCTGATTGGTCAGTTACACTATCTTTCTTTTGATCTCGTTCCTTTCCTGTGTACATGCAAGTCAGCATCAATCCTAGTGCTGACATTGCCCTGTGTGGTGAAGCCATACACAGTCTATCCACACTACACTTGACTAATGACTCAGCGTCTGAGGTAGAGAGACACCCAGCTAAGAGTAGTCTTTCAAAGCCTCTCATAATGGCATGGTACACTGCTGGGGAAACCGCTTCCTCATTGCTTGATGCCATAGAAATACATATCTGAGTAGAAAAGAAACATAACATAACATGACATGACATAACCAGAGTTGGGTGCGGGGCAGTGGCTTAGTGATACACAGTTGTGGGTCAGTTTAACTCAGAGGTTACATATCAGTGTCTTGGCATGTCAGTTATGACATTGGGGTAAGTCTAGGGGAAAGATTCAGCTTTCCACAGATGTTAGTTATTCTCTCATGGATGTGTACAAGTCCAATAATATGTTCATTCTCACATGGAGTCCCGGGAATTTGATCATTTCCCCTAGGCTGTTGGCAAGTCCCCTGAGATCATGATCATTCTCCGAGGGGTTTTGGTCACATTCCCCAGCTGTTGGTTTTTCTCCAAGTATGTCTGGTCACCCACCCCCAAGGAGTGTGAGGTCAGATCCCTCGCATTATTACTTACCTGTATAATATTATAAGTAAATTCAGTATCTTTGATATGCTCTGCATAATGTTCAATTAAATAGAAAGACGTTGACAACATAGCCAAGACGTGCTGCTGACTTACTATACAACTAATCCTGGCAAAGAGAACAGAACAAAAACTGAAAATCAAAGAAAGCTTAGAAAGAACTCCCGTGTGCTGAGAGTTTTGGAGACACATTAAAAATTAATTCAAAATTACTTATACTTGAGATATTGATGGAATAGCTGAAAACTAATTATGCAAATAAGGTAACTAATATGAACAGATTTAAGTGTAAAACTAATAAGGTCTGCACAATGTACCAAGTTTCATTGAAATGTGATTAGAACCAAAAAATATTAATTATTATATTAATTAGAGAATTAATATGAACAGATTTTAACCCAAAATTAATCAGACTGTCTATTGTCCTAGAGCATTTATGTACCAAGTTTTATT